ATAATTTTATTTAATAAATAATGATTAATTATTGAATATTATTTGATTTATTTTAAATATGAATAAAATGAAATGTATTTAATGATATGAATGATGAAATGATATAATCAAGATATATAATCATTAAAATTTGTATCATCATTTGTTTTTATTTCTTTATTTTCATTTTTATATCTTCTTATTTTTAATTTTATTCTTAATTTTAAAAATATATTATGATTTGTTTATTTATTTTATTATCATTTTATTTATTTATTATTTATTTTATATGTTTATGTTATTTCATTTTATTGTATTTATTTTTATTTATTCTTATTTTTATTTTCATTTGATATTATTTTGTTATTTTGTATGTTAAATTATTTATAATTATATAATTATATTATTCATTAACATATTCTATTTATATTTATATTTTATATTATTATTGTTGTATAATTATTTGATTATAATTTATTGAAATGATTTAAATTAATATAAATGAATGTAATTATGAATTAAATAATTTTATATTTTATTATTTCATTTATTTATCATTCTTCATTATTTGATATATTATTTTATTCATTGTTAATTTATGATTTGAATATTATATTTATCATTTATCATTTAATTTATCATATTTTATTAATTATTGAAATATTATATAAATATTTTATTATTTGATTTAATTTATCAATTAATACATTCATTTATTTATGTTTTATTCATTATATTATTTTATTTATATTATTTCATAATTAAATAATCATTTTAAATATAAAATAATAATAAAAATAAATAAAGAAAAGAATAAATTAAGAATGAATAAAAATAAAAGATAATAGAATAAATGAATTCATAATTATTTATCATTAATTATATCATTAATTATATTATCATTTATTATAAATATATTGATTATTCATTTATTATTATTATATTTATTATCATTTATCATATTTTATTATTATATTATTAAATAAAAATAAAATATAAAATGAAATAATGAATAAAATAACAACAAAATGAAATATTTAATAATTATGAATTTATTAAAAATAAAAATAATTATCATTTTATTTTATTTCTTATTATTTATTGTTTTTCATAATAAACATCAATTAATAAAAATAGAATGATGATAAAATAATAAAAAAGAAGAAATTAAAATATAAAAATAAAAGAACTAATAAAAACAACTAATAAATAATAAATCAATAATGAAATTAGGATATAATGAAATAATGATAACATCAATGTATTTTAATAATATTGAAGATTTTATTAATTTAGAAATAGGAATTAAAAGATTTCAAGGAAATATTGAATGATTTCATTTTAATCCAATTCCATTAAATCAATATTCAAGAAAACTCTTTCCTAATATTGAAACATTTCATATTTATGATAGAGGTGATGAAATATTTAATGATGGAAAATATTTAAATATGTAATATGGTATAAAGTAGATTATTCAACACATTTAAAAGAAAAAGAACAAGGAAATATCTGTAAACATATAGAATATACACAATCAGATAGAAATAAATATGGGAATACAATACCATCAGAAGTTAAATCACTTGTAAATGGATGTTTTAAAGGATGTTCATCTTTAACATCAATTAATATACCATTATCAATTAGTAAATTAGGAGATTGTTGTTTTGTTGGATGTAAATCATTAACAACAATTAATACACCATCATCAATTAATGAAATAGGAAGTTATTGTTTTTCAGGATGTTTATCATTAAAATCAATTAATATACCATCATCTGTTAGTTTTATAGGAGATGGTTGTTTTTCAGGATGTTTATCATTAAAATCAATTAATATAGATAATCTACAATATATTAGTAAAGAAAGAATATTTATGAATGAACCAGTGTTAATTAGTACTGAAATACCTGATAATCTACAAATAATCAATGGAAAGAATATTTTCAAGAAAGATATTAATGAATTTATTATTCCATCATCAATTACTAAATTAGGTGATGATTGTTTTTATGGATGTTCATCATTAAAATCAATTAATATACCAGCAACAATCACATCAATAGGAAGTTGGTGTTTTTATGAATGTTCATCATTAAAATCAATTAATATACCATCATCAATTAATGAATTAGGAAATTATTGTTTTTATAAATGTTATTCATTAACATCAGTTACTATTCCATCATCAATTAGTGAATTAGGAAAATTGTGTTTTAGAGAATGTTCATCATTAAAATCAATTAATATACCATCATCAATTACTAAATTTGGAAATGGATGTTTTTATAAATGTGGATGTGAAGAAGAATTAATGAAAAATCAAAGAATACCAAGAAATTGCTTTAAAGATTGGTGGTGAATGAAATAAAAATACAATAAATGAAATACAATATAAATTGAAGTATAAATAAATTATAATTGATTATCATTTATATTATTATTACTCTTTTCTTATTTATTCTTTTTGATATTATTCTTTTTTATTGTGTTAAAATATTTATTATTATTTATTGTATATGTTTATTATTTCTTATATCTTCTATTTTATCTTATTTATTTATTATCTTTTATATCTTTTTTATTATTTTATTATTGTTTATTATTCTTATATTCTATATTTTATCTTATGATTTTCTATTATTAAATATAAATTAAATGAATTTGATATTATAGATAAATAAATATCAATTTTATTAATCTATTTGTATTTATATAATATAAATATCAATAAAAATAAATTATAAGTTAAATTAAATGAAATATGAATATGAATAATATTAATATGAAATGAAATAATTAAATAATAAGAATATATTTAAAATATAAATATCAAATACATGAATAAAATAAATAATATAAATAATAAAATATAAATCAAAATAAATAAATAAAATAATGAATAATAATCAAATATTAAAACATGAATATGTATTTAATCAAATACATAAACATATATTAATTACATATTTTAATAAATTTAATGAAAATTGATTTTAATATATATCATAAATGTATATTAATATTTATATTCTTATATTAAATTATTGATTTATTTATTAATGACCATTCTTTTAATGTTAGAATACCAGATATAT